CACCGCACATGCGCACACACACACACACACGCAACACATGCGCGCCGCGGCGGGCAGCCCACCACCCTCCGGGCCACACACACACACACACACACACAAACCACACGGCAGCGGCGCACCACCGCGATGGCGAACAGATCCTCTCCTATGGTTGCCACCGCCTCCTGCTGCTCCGCCTGGCGGCTGATGTTGTCGACGAAGAAAGCGACGGAGCGGCGGATGGACGGCAGGTCCGAGGTGGGCACGATGATTCCCAGGGAGACCAGCTGCCGCACCACCTGCGGCGGTGGGCCCGGGAGGCGAGGGGTGCCGGGGAAGGAGAGACGGGAGGCAGGGGTGATGGTTGGCGGGGGGTGGTAGCGGGTGAAGAGGCGGGCAGGCGGGGAGGCAGGCGGGAAGCAAAGGCAGGCGGCCACCAATGGAAGGCAGGCGGGCAGGGCGTGGCGGCAGGGAGACGTGCGGCCGCTTCCACATCCACCCACCCCACCCAACCCCCCTGCAGGCGCACCGCGTCCGCGTCCTTGCGGTTGACGGCGTAGAACAGCTCCAGCAGGGTCTCCCGGGTGGTGGGCACGATCTCGCCCATCATGCCAAAGTCGTCTGCAGGGGAGGGGAGGGGAGGGGAGGGGGCACGCGCCGCGCACCAGTCAGCAGCAGCGGCGGCGCCCCGTGACCGGCTGGGTGTCGGGCGGGCAGGCAGAGGCGCGCGGCTGAGGGGCCGGCGTGCCGCCGCCGCCTCCTCGCCACGGCGACTCACAGAAGATGAGGGAGCCTTGGGCGTCGATGGCGATGTTGCCGGGGTGTGGGTCTGCGCGGGGCAGGCGGAGGGCATGGGGAGGGGGCGCGGCTCGGCGCGGCGCTGCCTGCCCTGCTGCAGCATTCAACCTGCCCCTACCCTGCATCAGCTCCCCGCCACTTGCTGGCGTTGGATCGGCAGGGGCGCTGCCGGGACAGGCCTTCCCGCCACCTGCTTCCACGCTAGCAGGGGTTCCCCCTGCCCAGCCCTTGCCTTGCCTTCTTCCCCTGCCCTGCCCTGCGCCGGCCCACGCCCCCTGCCCATCCCCTGCTCAGCCCTGCCCTACCCTGCCCCCTGCGCCTGCCCCTGCCCCTGCCCATG